ACCTTCTGTGCCGTTTCCAAATAATAATAACAACAACAATAATAATGGTAATGCTTTATAAAAATAACTGTCAGCCTTTAATAACATCCTGGTTTACAGCACAGGCCCCAGGCATGGATCACAACCTGCTTTTCAAATAAAACTGAACCAACGTGTGGGACTCCACTCACATGGAAATTCTGATGGTGACTTTTTGATTCCCTTGTTAGTGAAATAAAGAAAACCCTCTAATTGTTACAGTTTTGCCACCAAAGTGCAAATAAGGAGCTTTACACATGCCTGGACATGGTGGGCTGAAGTATTCCTGTAGTATTTATTATAATCACCATTTTAGTACTCACAAACACATTTTTAGAGCATCCATAACCTCATGGGGATGATGAATGATTCATGTGCTGGGACATGAGTGATTCTTCCTGTTCAACAATATGTATGTGGATGTGGGGGGGTGTTTCTATTTTTAAGGGTTTTTAAATTAGCAAGTTCTTTATAATTGTGGCTTTTCAAACCCGGGTGACTAAAATTCACCTCCCAGATCTGTGTGGGGACGTCTCAAGGAGAGCAGGAGGCCGGAGGTGCCCTGGCCCCTCTCTGAGTTGGGTTCCAATGATGGAGACCAGGTTTGAATTAAAAAGTGTTCAGAGGAAACAGATCAAATGTTGGACATCTAATTCCAGACTCCAGTAATCCCAGAGATAATCACATTTTTCTCAGCTGTCATACAAATCTGCAAAAGCTTGAAATAAGCAGATACAAAGGGGCTGGGGGTCAGAGAGTGCTTGTTGCAGAGAATCTTAATTTGCTGAAGCTCCAGATTGCCTGAGACATCAAAAATAGGAGGGAGTTTCGAGAAGTAATTTGCAAAGTGCCTTATTTTAGGTAATAGCTGGAAGTTCTCTGCTGGAGTGTGTCAGCTGCAGCGTTCAGGGGAGCTGATTGAGGAACCTGAGCTGCTGGGGAAGGGTTCACTTCTCTCCTGAAGCTCAGTGGTGTTGATTTTGCTGATCCATCCCAGCGCTGGCAGGCTGTAACCGGGGCAGGGAGCAGGATGCAATATTTGTGTTTGCGTGTGGATTTGTCACCCGGAGAGGGCTGGCAGACCCTGGCACACCTCAAGGCTGAAACCGCAATTTGGGATAAATGAAAGGAGCTACAAATGCCCGGCAGAGGCTGCAGAGGGTTCCTCCCGTTCAGGTTACTCCGTGATTACCTTTCCCCAGCAGCTCGGTGGGTTTTTTATTTATCCCCCTCTGAAATGTGAAGTGTGCCCATCCCTGGGCTCGGCCCTGCAGGGCTCGGGGCTGTGCTCGGTTTTCTCAGCTTTTATTGCTCCTTGCAGTCTCTCCCTCTCGCCAGCGCTCCAGAACACATAAAGCTGCATTTACATTTTCTGAATGGACTAATCATGGCTCTCTGCTTTGATAAAGAAAGTGCAGCCTCCCACATAACCACATGGAAACCAACAGGGAAGAGTAAACCAGAAATAAACCCATTCTGGGGGGTTGAGAGAAAAATACCCACCAGGATAATTGGGAGGGATGTACAGAGAAGCAGCAACTGAACACATAGTAACATCTCCAAAAAAAAAAAAAAAAAAAAAAAAAAAAAAAAAAAAAAAAAAAAAAAAAAAAAAAAGAAAAAAAAAAAGAAAAAAGAAAAAAATTACAATGCTAAAAATACCCAGGTGAAGGACAGCGAGAGAAAACATGATTGAAGTGGAACAATTGGGAGAGGAGTTAATAGTTATTAGCAATCACTTCAGATTGAATTTAGGTTGGTTTTGTAACAGCACAGGGGATGATGCATCTGACAGGACTTAAACAATTGCCTCCCCCTTCCCCAAAGGATCTCGCTGGCAGCACCCTGGCACTCACTGCTCAGTGCCCCTGCTCCTCAGGAGCTGCTGAAAGTTTTTATTTGTAAAAGACAGCAAAGTTTGATCCAGACAAAGCTTTCCAAACCTATATTCTGAGCCTTAGTCCATTTTAACCTTCAGCCCGCTGTATTTTCTCTTGTAGCTTATAAAAATTAACCCTGGAAGGCCGAAGCTCCACCAGTCTGGGATCTTCTTATCCAATTCTGCCTTTGCCTGGGCAGGATGTGAGAATGGAGAAATGTTTGTGATGTTTCTGCAAACACTCCCCCATCACCCAACTGTTTGCTGTGCCAGCCTGGATTCTGTGCATTTATTAACAATCTGTGGACTCCTTCCCATGGAATTGCAATTCCCCAGTGCCCACAGCATTTGAGAACATTCTGCACCCAGACACCCTGTGCCAGGAGCCTTTCCAGCTCAATGTGGATGTGTTCACTGTCCTGCACCTCCTGGCACTGGAATTTCAGCTCTGGGCATGTGGGAAATCCAAAACTGAGTCCCAGATTTCCTCCGTGTTCACAAGGAATTTGTGCACAGAGGGTGAAATTGAAAACGAGTTATCCTGAAAGGATTGCGAGGAACGTGAGCCAAATCCAGCCTGTTGATAACTGGAGAGCTACAGAACCTTGAAGAGAAATGCTTTTCAAAGGGTGTTTTTTGGCTGCTGTTTTAGAGAATTGGTGGCTGGTGGTTGTTACAGAATGATCCCCATGGGTCGCTCCCAGCTCAGGATATTCCGTGTTCCACACCAGCTTGCCTTGCAGCTCCAAAGCTGAAGCACCCAGGGGATGGGAGGGTGGAGATTTGCTGTTTTACAGCAAGGGATGGGTTTGAGGAGCAGAACACCCAGGGCACGGCCCTTTTTGTGCCAGGCCCGTGCCACAGAGGGGGAACAGCTCTGCCACGGGTCCTGCCTGCCCTGAGCTGCTCCAAGCTGCAGAGAGAGGTTTTCCTGCTGCTTCAAGCTGCAGAATGAGGTTTTCCTGCTCCCTGAGCTGCAGAATGAGGTTTTCCTGCTCCCTGAGCTGCAGAATGAGGTTTTCCTGCTCCCTGAGCTGCACAGTGAGGTTTTCCTGCTGCTCCAGCTGCATTTCCCAGCAGGTTTGTCCCTGCTGGGAGCCCTGCAGCCCCTGCTGCAGACCGGAGCAGCCAAGGGGACAATTCCAGAGGCAGAGGGGACAGTTCCAGAGGCAGAGGGGACAATTCCATGCCGTGCCATGAAGGCAGAGCTGCGTGCCCTGCCAGGCAGGTGTGTGGCTCTTGGGCAGGGATGAGCACACTCTGGGCACTCCGGGCACTCCGTGTCCTGCTACTGGCACGGGGGCACACAGGGGTCACGCTGTGCCTCTGCTGACACCTCTGTGGGGACAAAGCAGTCCATCCCCATGGCCAGGCAGGTTCAGGGGGGATCCCCCTCAGCTCAGGGGGATTTGGGGCACGGGAGAAGCATCAGGATGGGCACAGGGGACACTGTGTGGTCACTGATCCCATCCAAACCCTGGCCAAGCCTTTCCTGCAGGGTGACAGTGACACGGGAGCAGAATGTCCCAGCTGTTCAATATTCCCACACTGACTGCTCCCCTGCTTTTGCAGGGTCACAAGCTTCTCTCTGAAGCCTGAAGCATGCACATTCTCTTTTCCAGTGTGACAGTGAAGCTCTTTTCCACACAGAGTGCGTGTGTGCCCATGGAAGTTAGGTGGAAATGTGGAAAGCACGGCAGATTTTAGACAGGGGTTCATAAATCAGTAGAAAACTCTTTTACAAAACTCTGTTCAGAAGTAAGGAAGGAAGGCTTGAACGTAACAGAATTTCCGCAGCATGGAAAAGAAGTTAAGGCAAGGGGGATAGCAAAAACTACAGCAGCCTTTATTTGATGGAGTCAGAAATATTGCCAAGAGTTTTTTCTAGATTACTACAAGCAATTACTTCAAAAGAGATAAAAACCAGGGGTTTGAGTTTTTAATACCATGGTGTAAAGAACAATAATCCCATGAAACCCTGAACACGTAGGAAAGCCAGCCCACGCAGTTTTGCATGTGTAACCTGTCTGACCAGCTCTGTTATAACCCTGGTTATTTATAAAACAACCCAGGCTGTTTTTCTTTTCGCCTTGGAGCTCCACTCGAGAAGCAGTGATTCATGCTCCACACACATGCTGGGAACTCTGCAGTTCCACGCCTGGCATGTGGGAAAGTCGGGATGGGAGAGAGACTTGAGAATTACCGAGTGGGGATGTGTGATCTGGTGTAGAAACAACCTCCAGACAACAGCTTGGACCAAAAATATCCCAGGGCTGGGCAGGACCCAGCACCATCCTGGTGTTTGGTTTCCCCCCTAAAGCCACACTTTACACCGGCTTCAAAGAGCTGGATAGAACTTAGAACTGGGGGGGATGGAAAAAAAGAAATAAAGTCGAGACAAAGGTGACTGTCAACCTCACCCAAAATCTGCTTGCAGCATCCAGAGAGGAATTTCTGAGAGGTTTCCTTCCAGGGGTTTTTCAGGAAAGGGTGACAGATCCCCTGTTCTCCACTGGGGAAGATTGTTCTACATCAGGACCGGTGCTGAGCAGTAACTCTGAAAGGATGCCAGATTTGCCTTACCAGATGTAAAAAAATGAGAGTGGTAAGAGGAAAAAAGAGTGTTTTCCCTCAAATAATTTGATTGAACAATCTTGCTCCTTGGGGAACTGGAATGTACCCACATTATATCCTCTCCACACATCCTCCTCCTCCACTTCTCCCTGTCACTCTCTCTCCATTGTGTCTATGTGAGAGCAACGTAAAACATCAAACTTCCAAAAAGGAGCAGAGCTTCTTAGCAACTCCAAATGCCTCTTTAGCACACAATAACAATTGTTTGTTGTTTTGCAGTGAGCAGTTTAGATGGAGAAATGAGGCAGCCTGAATTTCAGTTTGAAAACCCGCTCTCACCTCTTCTCTTGCGGAAGGGAACAGCTTAATGGATCCTTTTGGTGTAATGACAAATATTTTCCTTTTTCTCCTGTCTTTATTTACATCTCTAGGCAGTGTGATATCAGCAGCCACTGCTGTCTGTGTTCCCCCACCGGGATATTCACAACACTTCTATTTCTGGAAGGAAAGCACAACACGAATCTCTTACCTTCAAGCCATATGAATCCCTCGAGCAGAGGTGCGAGTGCTTCGTGCCAAATAAATCCAAAAACGCCACAACTCTCCACCGTGGCTTTTCCCAAGCGATCTCAGGCAGACCTCTTGGTGCTCAGCATTCACGCACAAGCAGAGGAGCAAAAAGCGAGGCAATCACCCGCCTGGCCCCGGCCGGCTGGGAGGTGCAGGTGGAGCTCGCCGCGGTTCGGGCAGCGCTGGAACTTCGGGAGCTGGGCAAGCGGCTCAGCTGCCCGGGAAGCGGCGAGCCGGGGCCAGGCTCCCCGGCAGCAATTCGCTGTCCATCCCCTTCAGCACACGGCCGGCCGGCGAGGCGGCAGCTCCGTCTCCATTTCCAGAGCCCAGGCTCGGCTGGCGGCTGGGCAGAGCCGCGCCTTCCTCCCGCCGACAGATCCCAACAACCTGTTCCCGCTCCAGCTCCCTGCTCCGGCCGCGGATTCCCGCAGCGCTCCCCGCTCCGCTCGCCCGCCGCTGCCGCTGCTGCGGGGAGGGGAGGGGAGGGAAGGGGAGGGGAGGGGGCGAAGTTTCCTCCCCCGAATCCCACGGACTCACCCCGGCGGGGATGGGCGGCTCCAGCCCCGGGGATGCGGGGCAGCACCGGGACAGCGCCGGGCGGAGCGCGGGGCCGGAGCCCGGGGGGCTGGCGGGGCTCAGCCGCCCCCAGCGCAGCCCCGGAGAGAGGGGCGAGATGGGTTCCCACCCCCAGGAACC